AATCTGGGGGGGGAAACAGGGAAATCCCAGAGGCTTGGAGGAAGGGAAATATTTTGCTGACATTTAAACTGGGTGAGAGAGAACGCCAGCGTCTCTACTCGAAAATCACGTGGAGTTCTCTATGCAAAGAATCAGGGGCTATGAATAGGATGAAGACCAGTTACGCGGTTTATTGGGAGGTAAACCACGGCAAACTGACCTGCCTTGGCAGCTGTGGCTAACGCTCATATAATGCCCTGGATTCTCCAAGGTGTGTGACTTAGACCCGCTGGATGCTTTAATTAATATGTGTCTGATGTGGAAGGGCTGATGGCTTCAGTACTGGCTCCCCAACACCGCAGGGTTAATAATGAGGGGGAGCGGAGGCAGCAGGGCCAGGGAGCCCACTGGGGTCAGAGCTCCACAAGGGGATGGCATACAGCCGGACCCTGCCTGGTGTGTGTGTGTGTGGGGGGGGATTTCTCACTCTCCTCCAGCCCCGGGGGCCCTGCTAGCCCCATTCTCGGTTGGTGTAGATAGGGGCCACTCCCAGCCCCTGACCCGCATTGCAGCAGGTGTGAATCAGCGCTGCTGCACTCACGGCCCCTGAGCACAGAGCTGAGGGTCTGGGGCAATCGGGCGCCTCAAATCTACTGGGGAAAAATGAGCCCCAAAGCCAAAAGCCTGCCAGTGCGTTAAAGTGAGTGGAGGCTTAATCGGCTTAAGGGGATTTAATTAGCAGTGGGCACGCTGCCTGGAGCAGGCCGCTCAGGTGGGGAGAGACAGAGACAGGGAGCCCTTGGTCCCCCTCTCCCCTGCTGCGGGCTGGCTCAGCACTGGTACCAGGTCCTTAAGGACCCGGCTGTGGTGTGGCCACATACCTTGCCTCAATTTCCCCCACTAAGAAGCAGGCTGCAAGCACTAGCTGCAGGGCAAGCCTCCTGCCCGGGCTGTCGGACAGAGACCCTTGCAGGGCAGGGTGGTGCAGGGTCACCCCCCACCCCCAAGCTCCCTGGCCTGCTGGGCTGTGGCAAGCCCAGGCCTGGCAGCGTTGCTCAATGTGCTGACACCGGTTTGTCAGGATCCAGAGGGGCGAGGCACAAGGATGAGCATGTCCTCCCCAGGCTCTGGGCTTCTCAGCAGGTCCCTCCAGCCCTGGTGGGGACGAGCTGGGGTAAATCCAGCCCCTGGGGGTGTGAGATGGGGGCAGACAGGCATCCCCTATACCCCAGGACTGGGTGCTCCTCTTGCCATGGTTTCTGGGCAGCACCCGGTGCCTGCAGGGCTGGGCCATGACCATCGGCCACTGTGCTGGCACCAGACCCGCATCTGCGAGGCCTGAGTGCAGGGGCTTGGGGGGGGACATTTGATCCTGAATATTTTGGGGAGACTCAAGCAAACCCAGCAAGGAAACAGCCTCTGCTCCCCTGCTCCCCACTCCCCATAGCTTGTTAGCACTGGCTGGTGCCTGCATTAGGGCAGCCATCCAGGACAGGGGGCATTCACGTGGGAACCCCCTGCCCTCTCCCCCCCAACATGGAAATGGGACGGTGAACCCTCCAAGGACTCGATTTGCAGTCAGTGATAGATCCAGCAGGAGAGGCTGAGGCAGGAAAGGCCCATGGGGGCTGCTGGAGGGGTGTGTGTTGGGGGGAAACCTCTGAGATGGGGGGCAGGTCAGTTCCTGATCCTGAAACGGGGATTGGGTATGACCTGGGGGCAGCTTAGGGTCAGGACTTCTAGGTTCCTTCTTTGTACGACTCCCAGTGCAGTTGCCCCCCTTTCCCGTCTTCTGTGCCTCAGTTTCCCCATTGAGGAAGGGAGTGCGATCAACTGGGCCAGGCATTTGTCAAAGCAGAGAAGCCAGGATTGGGGCCTGGCAGTGCCCCCTGCCAGCGTAGTTGCCTTGATCTGTGTGCCAGGCCCCAGGAGCAGAGGGGGCTGGGAGGTGAGAGCATTGCTCTGCTCACAGACCCCTCTAATTTGTGCCCTAATGAGCAGATACTAATTGCTGCATTGGAGGTGGCCTCTGCTGTTGCTTTTTCCCCACAGCGGGAAATTCCAAGTACTGGACCCTGACCTGTGTGTCCAGAGTCTGCCTCCCTGGGGGGAAACCGAGGAATGAGGAGGTGGTCCCGACAGAGGTCTGGGGTCTGATCTCCTAGGTCCCAAAGAAGCCCAGAGGGACTGGACCAGGCCCGGGGAAGCAACGCCAGCTGTAACCCTGGGATTGGGGTGGGAATTGGAGCTGTGGGCTTACAAACAGGGGCTGGAAGGGAGCATGCGGTGAGCGCCATGGTGGGGCGGGAGTACCTGCCTGTTCCCATTCCTATGCACCTACCTTGAATTATCTATCTATCTAGCTATCTATCTAGCTATCCCCATAGACATCCTTGGATCTTTCCAGGCCAGACACACCCTTGTGTGCATGTATATATCTACCTAATATTACCTACGCTTACCAGACCTTGACATATCTCTCCCACCGTCCCCCCAGCCACGCCAGGCCTCCAGATCTCACCAGCACAACCAGGGGACCAGAAAATGTGGCTGATCTGGTCCCACTGCTGATCTGGTCCCACTGGTCACCTTGACCCCCGGCAGTTGTATTGCCCCTCCTCCGCGGTCGTGCAGGCCTGGTCACTGGGCAGAGACCTCTCCATGAGTCCCCCTGCTCTTTTGAAGGTGGGGGCGGGGGTCACGTTTGTATGTAGTTACCTCCACCCCCCCCTTCCGATGCTGCATTGAGAAGAAAAAAAGAGAGAGAAAACAGGGAGAAGGAGATGGCTAATTAGCGCAGAGCGAGTGACAGATGTTTCCCGCAGCCCGAGGTTTGTCGGGGCCTTTATTTGCCTCTTTCTGAGAGTGTCTCCCGGCACCAGGGCTAGAGTCAGACTCTCCAGGACTGGGCCCAGCTCCGGCTGCGTGTGCCCTAGGGCCCGCTCCGGGAAGGTGAGGTCTCAGTGACCCACCCGCAGCCGTCTTGGAGCCAGGAGCCAGGAGCCAGGCAGGGCTGGGCTTCCTTCCCCCACTTCCCCACGCAGAGATAACAGCTCCTGCTGCCTGGAGGCCTCCCTTGGCAGGGTGGCAAAGGGGGAGAGGTACATCCTCACTCCAGCCTCAGCAGAGAGGTGACTGTCTAAATGGGCCACACGGGTTCAGAAGTCTCACACATGTTTGTGGGTCTCACATTTGTTTGTAGGTGCCACGCAGGTTCATAGGGGTCACCCATGTTCGTGGGTGTCACACATGTTCATGGGTGTCAGATGGGTTCATGGGTGTCACCTGTGTTCGTATGTGACACATTTATAGGTGTCATGTGTTTACCGGTGTCACACGTGTTCATGGGTGTCATCTGGGTTCATAGGTATCCCTTGTGTTCATAGGTGACACATGTTTGAATAGGTGTAGACATGTTCATAGTGTCACCCACATTCATAGGTATCACACGTGTTCATAGGTGCCACTTGTGTTCATGGGTGTCGCACAAGTTCATAGATGTAACATGTTCATAGAGGTCACACACGCTGATAGGTGTCACACGTGTTCATAGGGGTCCCGTGTTTATGGGTGCCCCACATGTTCACGGGGGTCACTTGCGTTCATAGGGGGCACACGCATGTATAGGTGTAACACGTGGGTATGGGTGTCACATGGGTTCCCGGGTGTCACCCCCGTTCAGAGGGGACACCCGTGTGCCGAGGTGCCCGGGGGGCCGGGGCCGCCCGGGCAGCGGAGCGGCGCGGCCGGGGGAGGCGCTGCCGGAGCGGGCTCACCCGGGGCGGCCGGAGCGGGGCGGGGCGGA